GAGAGAGAGGGGAGGGGGCACATTTGGCTGCGCATCTATATTGCCATCCTGCTATTCGCACTGCAACGCCTGCGGGTTCTAAGTCTGACGTCAGTCAGCGGAGAATGAGGTATACTCCCATGAAGCTACAGTGGTTTTCCTGGCTTACAAAATACTAACCAACCTGCTGAGATATGTTTTCAATTGTAGTAGTGTTTTTCGTGCAGCATAACCCCAAGATATTTCATTCTGTTAGAAGGAAATACTGAAGGGAGGTTGTAATGTTGACTATCCACATATCGGATACCCACAGGGTACCGGATTTTGAATGGGTTTCTTCTCGCATATATAGCATGAATTGTTGATGGCCTAACAAATTCAAATATATTGTATTGTAAACATTAAGAAAGTCATTGTGCAAGATGTCTACTCAAGAAAATTTTCCTCTGAACAGAGATGAACGTCAATAGTAGAGAATATGCGAGTTCCAGGAAGCAGTTCAGAAGAAGGGGACGCGATCACTGGAACAAGAGTTTTTTTCAGTGATCGCATCCTTCTCTCCAGAGATGAACGTATTATCTGCTTAGCAGACATTACACTTATTAAGCCATAATCAGAGGCATCATCACTGGACTGGACTTTTATGTTCCGAACAGGAGGATAAACCCTGTTGAAATTGAGACACAGTTTTGAGAATTGGATTTTCAGCTAGCTGATATCGGCTGGCTGAAAGAACAATTTGTAGACATTGCTCATCAGTACCACAAAGTTTATGTAACACAACTGTGCTAGTGAATAAAGAACACATGACTGCCCTATCAGCATGAAATATCATGATGAAATAACCATTTCTAAGCCCAACAATCCATTTTTAGTGATTAGAGCAACTTTCGTCTAGGGACGTCAGGTTCAGAGGAAATCAAGGTAATAAACGACACTGGCTGTTTAAACGTTTGCTAGACAAAAACATAATGATACTACAACTACGCCATCGCTAAAACCTAGACATACACATATCTGCAGACTATATGGAATACCCAAAACATATAAGGAGGGGATACCTCTA